CCACACCGATGCACCCGCATCTGCCACCACTAATAGCGTAGATCCGTTGCAAAAAGAAGTTGTGCGACCCAAACTCGTAGGCGAAATCCCCATATTTTTCAGGAGCATCGAACCCACAAGGTGGAAGAGGCGTACTCCTTTTTTTGGTCCCATTATTACTGCAGCAGATGGAGGCTTCTCGCACGCGCAGCTGCTTCATTATACGCACAAGACGTTCCGTAGCTTCGGCCATGTCTCGATGGTAGCTTTCTCCGATCCAAACGACCTTCGACTTCTTTGCGGGCGAAGACATGACGCACGAAAAAAAAAAACGGCAACCCGCGCCCCAACCCTACCTCCACACTCTCGGAAAACACAAACGAGCACGCCAGAGGCAGCGAAATCGCACGTTTGCAGCGACACGAAGACGCCGCGCGCGGGGCGCTGCGAGCAGCGCTGAATGCCCCGGCACGGGGCGCCCTTCCGCAGCCCGCGGGGCCCCGAACGCCCCGGGCGGGCCGAGCTAGCACAGCGGGTGGGTCACGAAGCCCACCGGAGGTCCTCGGGCAGCGATTCCACGCTAAACGCCCACCATCGTCTAAGCCGCCCTAGACGATAGACGCGAGCGTCCTTAGCGAATAAAGATTGACGGGCTTTGAAATTTCACATTTCTACAAATTTTTAGAGAAGGGTGTGATCGGGGAAATTAGAATGAACCTAATGTTAAAGTCCGGATGGTTGAACGATTGGCATGTTCCGGGCCACCGGAGGAGAAAGTGAGAGCACTTCGCCGTGGGAAGTCGGGGTCGGAGGTCCCAAAAAATTACTCCATGCTATGAAGTTTGCCCCAGGCTTAAAATTCATGTCCTCTCTTTTTTGGGTCGAAATTCGGACCAAGTAAGCAAAATCATACCGATGGCGACGCGCAGTGGAAAATTCCAGAGTGCTGGCAGGACGAAAATCATTGATCGTCCAGAAAAATGTTCGATGCGCGCATTGAGCGGCCGTCCTTCGCTAAACATGTCCCGCCGGCGGGATATGCTAAGGAGCTCCGCGGCGACAGGAGGGGGGGGGGGGGTGAGGGAAGGCAAGATTGTGAATAAGGCTCTCAACTTTCTGAAACGTCAGATCATCAGAGGCCGCCAATCAGCTTTGTTAATCCACTTTCGCAGCTTGAAGGAACCACAGTCCCATGACACCACTGCGTTCTTTAACGGTCCGGTTGTAGTACACAACTGTGCGTAGGGGGTGGTCTTTCGGAAATCGAGGTGGAGTTGATGCTCCTCCCCAGACGCACGGCTCGATACCGACAAGCCAACCCATCTCATCACCTGGTAGGTCAGATGTTCCATACTGCAGCTTTCCTGAAGCAATGTCAGCTCTGCATAACAAGTCTCCAGTGAGCTCGTCGTAAAGTTCGAGGGCCACAACACCGGTGTGACCATGAGCCACTGCATGTACGAGCTCAACATCACCGTCGTACAGGACCGGGCCCGGATTGATTGGTTGGACGTTCGAGAAGACGTGTAGAGGGCATTCAGGGTCGGTGCACGAGGGAACCGTGTACTCCGCATTTCCTTGAGTTCGGGGCAACAACTGGTCATCATAGTTGGCAGTCACGTCACAGCACCCCATAGGGAACAAGGGCTTCGTATTTTCTTTAGTAGAATGGAATGTGAAAGTGAATTTGCCACGTACAGAGACAGTCGCGGGGCTGAGTTTGTTCTTTGGGTCTATGTCTAAGAATGTACCATTCTTACAGCACCGATATCCAGACTTGTATGTTTCCAGTTGGCAGGATGGGTTCTTGGTGGCATTCATTAGCGCATTGCACGAGAAGGGTGGAGAAGGCATACATCCATCGATTGTGCCGTTGCTGAAGTTGAAGTGGCGGTCGGACGTGCATGGGCACTCGATAAGTGGGGAGTACGTAGAAGAAATAGCCGTTGAGGTGTAACCTTTGATATTTATTAGATGCATGTTTGCCAAAATACTGTGCGGGCGATACGTGACTATACCGTATGGTTCTGGAAAATCGTGCGGGTTGTGTCGCATCTCACCCCCGGTAGCGCCTCCATACAATGATGGGCTGCTTGCACCACTGAATACCTCAGGATACACATCTCGTAGTGCTTGCTGGCAAATCTGCGCATGACCAGGGCCCATGTAGTCGCAGTGCTGCAGGGGGTGTGCATCCCTCCAACAGGGTATCCCACCAATACCGTCAAGGCCTCTCGTATGCACTGCTGAGTAATAAGCGTCCATCTCCTCACGTGTCCCGAGGTATAGCGCGAAGTGATGGTTATAGACTTCAAATAGGGGAACCGAGACATCATTTTGGTCAGTATTATTGTTAGGTGAGTGCGAATGTACTATGTCGGTTGTGAAATTCGTAACAACCATACCAGATTGATTATCGGAAAACATATCGATAACCCAGCTGGGCAGTGGCACAGGTTTCATGAAACCATTATGAACTTCGCTTGGACGAAGTCGTACTTCTTCGGAATACACTGTAAATTTTAAACCTACACATGACGAAAAAATCGATACAAAGGAGATAATGAAGAAATTGATGGCCATGAGGAAGGGCAGAGAACCGGGTGGGAAGAAAAGTACGAGATATAGGATGATATTAAGGAATGATACAAGATATAGAATGATATAGTTGGATTAGGAGCTGGGTGTTGCCTTCAACATGGGCTCCACCCAGCTCGGGAACTGGCCTAGTTTAGGACCCCCAGGGAAAAAAAGGGCCGGTTGGATAGGTGAAGATTTTCCTGGGGTGCGCTCAGGCGCACAATAGAGGGAGAAGCCAAACAAACGCAAGAGACTTTCTTGTTTTTCTTTACCATTCCATGGTTCTTTCATCCATTCGTAAATATTATCATCAGTATGCTGTTGAATGAATTCATAGAGTTGAACGAAAGTATCAATGCTCATCGTGTTTTGAAAAGCGGGGTGTTATGGGGGTATAGTATTACCAAAATACATAAAAAACACCCATCATTTTTTAACAAAGTCTGTATTTTTATTCCAATATGTCAATTTAAAAAATTAAGTGTAAAATCTAATTTAAAAGCCCCGTGCGTAAGGAAAAACAACACGAAACTTTTATAGTGACATTTAAGTCACCTTCATCTCTCCTTGCCCGAAGGATCGAGAGACAAAATATGTATTTCATAGACACCTAGGTTTTCTAAACGGTTTGCTCCTCATAGTTGTAAGCCATGACTGTATATGTAGTCTAACAGGTTCTCCTCTTTACAGGTTCTTGCTACACATAGTCTATACTTACGAGACCGCCCTAAACATCTACTAGTGTGATGAAGATACTTTTTGTTTCTTCATATTAAGTTTTAGTAAGTTTTAGTGAAGCTTTTGTGAAAAGCGTAAGCAAATTGTGTGAATATAGTGTGAATATAGTGTGAATATAGTGTGAATATAGTGTGTGTAAAAAAAAGAGGATGTAGTGGTTGGTAGTGATAGTGGTTTGATATAGTGTTTTTACTTCTTAGCGTTACGCTTGGCTTTAACATCCTTGTTGGTTCCGTAGCGAGCATCTGGCTTACCATAGGACTTGCGGATAACGCGGTCCTTACAGCGTCCATCGGCCTTTTGTCCGTCATTGGTACGAGCCTTGCCGACCAACTTGACGCCCTTCATGCTAATAGTCTTGGAAGGCATATTAGATTGTTTGGTGTTTGATGTGCGATTGAAGGACTGCGTCTTCAATCTGCGATTGTTTGAATCTTGTTAAGATTTGTTTGATATTGTAATAATAGTGCTTTTGTAAGTTTTTGTAAGTTTTTGTAAGTTTTTGTAAGTTTTATGTGACGCTTTTAGGAAAAGCGTTAGCAAAATGTGCGACCTGCGGTCTGCGATTGTGTGTGTTTATGTGTTTATATTGGGGTTGTTAAAGATAAGTTTGCTGGAAGAACCTAACCACCTGCGGTGGGCACGGATTTTATCAAAATGCGCGTGCGTGGCGTAGCCACATTAGATTCTTCCAGTGTTTATTGTGTGTTTATGTGTTTATATTGGGGTTGTTAAAGATAAGTTTGCTGGATGAACCTAACTGTGTAGGACTTAAGCCTAATTAATGATATGAAAAGTAATGAGTTGTGATATTTGCGAAGATGACTTTGGGCACAAGTATTGCCCTTGTTGTACTTACCGATTATGCCACAACTGCGCTAATAAAATTGCTAACTATAAGTGTCCTCAGTGTAAGCGATGTATGAAAGTTAAGTATTTTATGGCTGGGAAAATTGAAAACAATGAATTGAGCAATAGGATGTTCGTCTTCTCTACGGGTAGTCGTTGTTATGAAGACATCATAAATGGACTTAGAAATTCGGGAAAGCACTTCTTCGAACATCACATAAAAAAGATCATGAATTCGATGAATTTGAACGATTTTAAGAATCTATCAATACCAATGAAACCAGTTGAGGAATATCGTCATATTCTTGTTGGTCCGTGTGCTATTTTCAATGGGGATATGGTATTGCGTGGACTAGAAGAGGGAGCATATTGTCATGGAACATTTCATGAAGAATCGTTAACCTCTGTTGTGAAAGATGTTACAGAAACTTTGAATAAAAGAAACAAGGAAATGATAGATAATTGTGATGTTTTTTGCCTTACTGTCGATGCGAAGCGTAGTTGCTATCGATCTTTTGCAGAATGGGGGATAGCATTGGCTCTTGGAAAGGTGCTTATATTAACTTACATTGATAACAGGGGATTACACCCTGAATTGTACTTGTATCCTAAATCCTACGATTTTATGTGAGGTTCCCTCTGTGGCTACACTTGTCCATCCTTCTATATCTTGTATCATTCTTGATATGGGAAAAAAACGTGCTCGTCGCGCAGCGCGATTAGGTACATCCAAGAATCTTCTGGAAGAACCTAATGTGGCTACGCCACGCACGCCCAACTTCGTTGGGCTTTTCGCTTTTGATTCAGATAAAACCATACTCATCCTCTTCTCTTCTTTAATTCGGGCACGACGCTCGCGAGCCTTTTGATTTCGCATTAATCTCTTTTGTTCATTCTCCAGTCTTTTTTCTTCTATCTTTTGTTTTTCAAGTTTGGCGGAGCGTAAGATTTGGACACAATTTTTATGTCAAGTTCGCAAAATCGGACGGCGATTTGGGGGGTATCCCGAGAATATCGCCCCCTCGTTCTACCCCCCCCGCTTTACCCCCGTTCTNCC